ACATCAATGTAGGGGATGGAACAGAATAATGTTAAAAAAATATTTTTATTTAGACCAAACATCCTTAGAACATTTGAACGAGATAATATGTTTGTTGTCTGTAAAAGCCATGGCAATGTGAACTTAATATTTTAGGTGATGCTGCACGAATGATGCCCGGTTGCCCTAATGATGTTCTTCCCTTGGTATTTTTTTGGGGAACTGTATTTAAATGTATCTTATCTTGTGCAAGAGCCACACATAAGGGATCTTTTGTGCTTCCCTTTATCTTTATTCGCTTTTTTCCTCAAACATATTTAAAAGTAACTTTCTTTCACGAACGGATAAATAATAATTTTCATTTCATTTCAGTTGGACCCGCGTATGCACAGAACACTTGCTGCGATGCGCGGGCCCCGCCCCAGCGCGGCGATACGGTCACGTGATGCTGGCCCACGGCCGCCATCTTTACGTCTTCGGAGGCGCCGCTGACAACACCTTACCTGGAGACTTGCACTGTTATGACCTGGACACACAGATGTGGTGAGTTGGATTATGCTGAATTACGGTCACGTGAGCTGGCCCACGGTCGCCATCTTTACGTCTTCGGAGGTGCCGCTGACAACACCCTACCTGGAGATCTCCACTGTTATGACCTGGACACACAGATGTGGTGAGTTGGACTTTATTCCTAGAGACACAGAGCTCATGTTCTATTGTGCTTAGTTAAGGCCACGTGAAGCTGGCCCACGGCCGCCATCTTTGTCTTCGGCGGCGCCGCTGACAACACCTTACCTGGAGATTTGCACTGTTATGACCTGGACATACAGCTGTGGTGAGTTGGATTCTAGTTTTGCAGGGAATTCGAATAGCGCACTTAGCCTCTTGATTGGGCCATTGTGCGCAAGAGTTGGACTCTATTAAGTGAAGCACAGAGCTCGTGTTCAATTGTGTTGAGTTAGGTAACGTAATGCTGGCCCACGGCCGCCATCTTTGCGTCTTCGGCGGTGCCGCTGACAACACGCTGCCTGGAGACCTCCACTGTTATGACCTGGACACACAAATGTGGTGAGTTGAATTCTAATTCGAGAGACACAGAGCTCATGTTCGATTGTGCTTAGTTAAGATCACGTGATGCTGATCCACGGCCGCCATCTTTTGTCTTCGGTGGTGCTGCTGACCACACCCTACCTGGAGATCTCCACTTTTATGACCTGGACACACATACGTGGTGAGTTGGACTCTATCAAGTGAAGCATAGACAATTCGACTTTATTCAGAGTATAAATAGAGCTTATTATAATCTGTCAAGTTTGCCAGTTCAGTGGTGCTGTCATCACAAGCTGCCAGTACATTTATTAGTTCTTACGGATGTTGTAAACTTGACTTTATTCCTAGTGGATAGAGTCTCGGTCTAATATGTCCAGGTCGGTGGTGCCTGTCAGCGGACTCGCAGCTGCCGACGGGGCGGCTGTTCCACGCGGGCTATGTACTTATAATAAATGCAAATTTGCAAAATCTAATTGACCTTCGACTGCATTGTGTTAATGTAAAGTCGACTTTATTACGAGCATGGATAGAGCTGATTTTATATCTGTCACGTAGCAGGTCGGTGTTGCTCCCGTCATTACTTTCGAATTTCGAGGAGATGTAGTGATGTAAAATCGACTTTGTTCTGAGTATTAATAGAGCTCATTTTATATCTATCACGTGGCAGGTGGGAGGTCATCACTTTCGAGTTTCGAAGAGATGTAGTTATGTAAAGTAAATTCGACTTTATTCCGAGTATGAATAGAGCTTCTTTTGGCAGGTCGGTGGTGCTACCGTCAGCGGACTCGCAGCTGCCGACGGGGCGGCTGTTCCACGCGGGCTATGTAGTTATAATAAGTGCGAATTTGGAACAAGTCTTATTAATTTTCGACTGCAGATGTGTCAATGTAAAGTCGACTTTATTCCGAATATAAATAGAGCTCATTTTGATTCTATCACGTGGCAGGTCGGTGGCGCTGCCATCACACGCTGCCAGTAGGTCTATGTATTTAATTTACAGACATCGTAAATTCAACATTATTCCGAGTATGAATAGAGCTTGTTTCCGTCACGTCGGTGTTGCTCCCGTCAGCGGACTCGCATCTACCAGTAGATCTAAGTACTTACAGACGTCGTAAATTCGACTTTATTCCGAGTAAGAAGGTGTTGTAAACTCGACTCTATCCCAAGAATGAATAGAGCTTCTTTTGGCAGGTCGGTGGTGCTCCCGTCAGCGGACTCGCAGCTGCCGACGGGGTGGCTGTTTGAGTTTCGAAGAGATGTAGTGATGTAAATTCGCCTTTATTCCTTGTATGAATAGAGCTGATTTTGTTTCTGTCAGGTCGGAAGTGCTCCCTTCATTACTTTCAAGTTTCGAAGAGATGTAGTTATGTAAAGTAAAATCGACTTTATTCCGAGTATGAATAGAGCTTGTTTCCGTCACGTCGGTGTTGCTCCCGTCAGCGGACTCGCATCTACCAGTAGATCTAAGTACTTACAGACGTCGTAAATTCGACTTTATTCCGAGTAAGAAGGTGTTGTAAAATCGACTCTATGGCAAGAATGAATAGAGCTTCTTTTGCCAGGTCGGTAGTGCTACCGTCAGCGGACTCGCAGCTGCCGACGGGGCGGCTGTTCCACTCGGGCTATGTACTTATAATAAACTAGCTTTCCGCCCGCGGCTTCGCCCGCGTGGAATTTTGTCTGTCACAGAAAAACTTTATCGCGCGCGTCCCTGTTTCAAAAACCGGGATAAAAACTATCCTATGTTCTTTCCCGGGACTCAAACTATCTCTATGCCAAATTTCATCAAAATCGGTTGCGAGGTTTAAGCGGGAAAGCGTAACAGACAGACAGACAGACAGAGTTACTTTCGCATTTATAATATTAGTTGGGATTAGTTGGGATGCTAATTTGCTACATCTTATTGACCTTCGTCTACAGAACAGATGTGTTACTGTAAAGTGGACTTTATTCCGGATATAAATAGAGCTTAGTTTGGAGTGTTTCTGTCAGGTCGGAAGTGCTCCCTTCATTACTCTCAAGTTTCGAAGAGATGTACTTATGTAAATTAAAATCGACTTTATTCCGAGTATGAATAGAGCTTCTTTTGGCAGGTCGGTGGTGCTCCCGTCAGCGGACTCGCAGCTGCCGACGGGGCGGCTGTTTGAGTTTCGAAGAGATGTACTCGTAGTGATGTAAAATCGCCTTTATTCCCTGTATGAATAGAGCTGATTTTGTTTCTGTCAGGTCGGAAGTGCTCCCTTCATTACTTTCAAGTTTCGAAGAGATGTAGTTATGTAAAGTAAAATCGACTTTATTCCGAGTATGAATAGAGCTTGTTTTGGCAGGTCGGTGGTGCTACCGTCAGCGGACTCGCAGCTGCCGACGGGGCGGCTGTTCCACGCGGGCGCGGTGGTGGGCGACGCCATGTACATCTTCGGCGGCACCGTGGACAACAACGTGCGGAGCGGCGAGCTGTTTCGCTTCCAGGTCAGATTTTAATTAAGTGGGAATATATTTCCCACCATATTTTGGACTTTATTTCTTTGTTTTAAGGTCCAAAAACAGCTTTTAATGTAGGCAAAGTATTGAGCCTTCATACGGAAATGGGAATGGGAATATATTTCCCACCATATTTTGAACTTTGTTCCCTTGTCTTAAGGTCCAAAAAGAATGAAAAACTTGGACTTGTTATGCTCGTAAAAACTTTTTCCATCACGGGGCCCAGACGTGTAGCGTAGACTCGTAGGGACTTGTAGATATATCCTAAATATCCCACGAGCTCGTTTTTCTTTATAATGGGAATAGCTAAGGATTAAAATTCACTACCTACTGAAATATTTCCTGACCTGAGGTGGAATTGTGTAAAGCAATCGTAATCATTTGACAGTTCATAACGTACGATAAAGTCAGTTAAACAAAGCGTTTGATAATCGTACGTTATGAACTGTCAAATGATAACGATTGCTTTACACAATTCCACCTCAGGGCCTCTTCAAGATGAGAGCATTGAGCATTTATTTTTTTATTTATTTTGGCTTTTCAACAATGAGTACACTATTAAAATTTAAAAGAACACTCATCAACATAAAAACTTATCTTCAACAGCTATCGAAATACCCTCGCTGCACATTACACGACGACTTCGGGCGCATCCTCAAGTCGCAGCAGTTTTGTGACGTCACGCTTCTAGTGGGACCCGACAAAGTTCCCGCGCGCGCGCACCAAGCCATGCTCGCCGCGCGTTCGCAGTACCTACGAGCTAAGATCAAGTAAGAACACATCACAGCTACCCGAAAATCTACCAAATGGTATTAGATAGAATGTCATATGGGTTATCAGCCTGTCGATCTCACAAAAACCGTGAAAGTGTGACATCACAAGTCAAGGTTGCGGGCATGCTCATTGCTTAACACCAGCGTTAGTGGTGCGCTACGTTGTTGTGACGTAGTTCAGTTCTGTGACGTCACGCTTCTAGTGGGACCCGACAAAGTTCCCGCGCGCGCGCACCAAGCCATGCTAGCGGCGCGCTCGCAGTACCTACGAGCTAAGATCAAGTAAGAGATAACACAGCAGTGCAATGATTCACCAGCA